CGCGCAACGGGCCAGGCCTCATCCCGCGCCTGCTCCGGGCTGTGGGCCTCGGGCTCACTCGCCCCACACCTGGCGCCCGGAACCCTTACCAGGGGAAGCAGCTGGAGATGCTCCTGCCACCCCTCCGTGGAGAGGAACCGGAGATGCTCTTGCCCTCCTGTGGAGGCGATGCTGGGGCATCCCAAACATTCAAGCTTATGCCGCGGTGTAAAAACACCCGTGACCTTTGGGACCAAAGCCATCTGGCCAGTGTTGGAGCATGAGGTGCTGCATTTCAGCGCTTTTGGCCATTTGATTCCAAATATGCCCTGTGAGGTCTTCCTGCACCGACATGATGTGGTACTCTAGAACCAGCAGATGTTTACTGTGTATGTCAACTCTGGCTTGGACGTTCAGTCCTTTGAAAATGGTTAGGCGCTTTCTGGGGGAAAATGGTGCTTGTGCACGTAAAACTATTTTTGTTCAGTAATGGGCAGGACTTGGTTAGTGTCAACTAGTTATTGTGTCACCTGGAAGCCAAACAATTCAAAAAAGAAAACAAAACCTTTTGCATTGAGATAGCATATTTCCAGGTTGGTTATTTGATAGCAGAATTAGAACAATTAGTCTCCACTATTGTGCCATGTGACAAACCTCACAAAATAGAAACAAGAATGTGCTGATTTACAAAATCGACATGGTTTTTGCTTATAGGTCTAGTAAGTAAAACATCCCACTTTAGAAAGAAAAATGTACCATGGGACTCTAACTATGGGAATTAGCTTGGTGTGCTTTTATACAGTATTTAAAAATATATATTGTATTAGACTTGACTCTTCCTATTTTATTTGAGCACATAGTGTGTTATGCTTTAAACCATTCTGTCTCAAGCAACCAGAGATACAGATTTTCACTATAAGTTTCTGTGCGTGAGGTCAAATGGATTCATTTAAAAATATGCTTCTAACAAAATTTCTGCAGAAAGATATGAATTAGAAAATATGATACTCTGATCTTTGTACTTGCAAAATCGGGACAGAAAATTAAATGAGTGTAATATTTCAGTATCAGTTGGATTCTCTACTTGGAAGATTCTTTGAACTCCACTGTTCAACTTTGCAGTTTTTAAGAGTTTTCATCAGGCATTCTTAACTTTATGCATGTGTTTCATGAGGTCCCTGGTCTCCAGAAATCATATGCAAGATGTAGCATCTGTTTACATTTCTTCTGGGTAAAGAGGCCGTGCAGTCATCATATTCTCAAAAGGAACTGAGTCCACAAAAGATGACCCACTGGCCATATAAATAATGAACAGATTTCTAGGCAGGGTCTTGTAGTCCCAGCACTTGTGAGGCTGAAGAGGTCAGTGCCTTCAGCCCCGGTGTTATTGTCCCAACCTGGGTATCACAGTGGGACCCCATGTCTGAGAAAAGTAAGAAATAAATTTCTAGTACAGTATTTGTGGAGAGTTAAGATTCTTGGTGTGATTTATATGTACTTTGCTTGTAATTATGTCTAAACAATGTTTAGGATTGAAAGCACACAGAAATATAGTTTTTCATGCATTATTAAAACTTCAGGAAAGTGTTAATCCTGTTGTACAGCTGGAGAGATAAATATTTAGAGACATTAGATATTAGGAGGCCAACATTTGAGCCCCAACTATGCAAACCCAGCGCCAGCAAAGCTAAACTGGACTTTGAGTCAGTGACAGCATTTAATCGATGTTAAAATGATTGAGTAATGTTTAAGATAGAAATGAAAATTTATCTGAGATTATAGACCCACACAGTACCATGGGATTTGGGGGCCACAGATGCCCAGTAGAAAGATAGCTGAGTGATAATAACTTGTGTTAATACTAGTCTGAACTCACACCAGGGTAGAGCCATTGCTGCAACATCTTTGGCAGGATCAGTCACAGGATTTTAGTATTTCCTGTGATTACAGATTCATTTCACTTTTTGACATTTTAAATATTTCTATTTATGTTGTATCAAAATGTACCTCCCTGGTGTTTCCACTGAGTTCCATTTTCCCCTTTTATATTCGATATATTTAGCATCCGTAAGTGACTTTTACTTAATTTTTTAAAGGCAGGTTTATGAAGGTGTAATTAAATGTAGTAAAAGCTCTGCAACTGTGTCTAGTTGGTTAATCTTAACCGCCAATTGAGATGTACCGCAGAACATTGCCCTCATTACAAAAAAGTCCCCTCATGCCCCTTAGTGGCCTGTCCTCTTCCTGCCATGAACCTCTGGTAACCACTAATCTAATTAAGGTCCTTAGAGTTTTGTCTTTTCTAGCATATCGTGTAAATGAAATCATTCAGTTTGTTGGTTTCTTGTCTTCTCTTACTTTGCATAATGCTTGTGATATTACTTCAACTCTTGGTTGTAACAGTGTGTTCATTGTAGGCTGATAAATGTTTCCACAGCCTGTCTGCCCCTCCTGCATCCTCAGTTTCTCCATTTGCTATTTATTGTGGCATGAACATTGTCACCCAGCCTATGTTTGGCTTCTTAAACCAGCTTGCAAAAAACCCCCCACACTTAGCATAGGGCTAGTACCATCCTGTGGTAGCATCCCACTGCATTTTTTCTTTTGATGTTGCTAAGCAGCATTCCTCTGTCCTGGCACCACAGCATGTCCATTCACCAATCCATGCACATTTCATTCCGTCCCAGTTTCAGCCAATTATGCGTAAAGATACTGCAAACATTTGCATCAGAGTTTGTGTGAGGGACAAAAGTTTTCAGGCTTGTTGAGTTAATACCTAGAAATGAAATTATTTGGTCCCATAATAATTATAGATTTGTCGCCATCGGTAACTTTATAGAACTGCTGTTTTCCACAACAGCTGCTCTGTGCTACATCTTATCTGCAGTCTGTGAGATCCCCAGTTGCCCTCCAATTTTGTCACTTCTTGTTATTGTCAATGAAGTTTTAGCCATTTATTACATATGTATTCTATGTTTATTATACTTGTCTTCATTTGTGTTTATTTTTCAGTAATGTCTGGACCAACATAGGAAGTTTAGAATAGACATTTCTGGGGGAAAAAAAATCTGTTTTTGTTTTGGTCTTTGCTGTGAGTTAAATCTTGCCAGGAAGGCTAGGCTTAAAGGATGGCTTTTACCTTTTGTGTTGTTAAATTTGCCTCTATTGAAGGAATCATTGGGGAATTATTTTAATGCTTAGCTGTTAACAATTCTTTAGTTGTATCTTTTTTAAAAGATTGATGCAGTTTTAAGAAAAGTTTAGAATAAATTCTCAAAAATTATCACACAGCATTTTTATTTTCAATTTTTCACTTGGACTTATAAAAAGATTCTTTGTTGCTACATACTTTGGTACTTGGCACTGAAGGGATTTCACCAAAATTTTGTAAACTCATTAGACTGTTTTTACTTAAAAGTCTTGACAACTGTTTAATTGCTGACCATTCTTCATGCACAATATCAAAATCTTAACTTTGAAGTTTCTTGTAGGTCTAGTGTGGGCAGGAGTTGAATTAGGTATATTTCATGTGAATATTTCTTTCAATAGTAAAATACTCTGTTCCTCTCAGAATAATGTATCACTGATTAGAAAGGGGATATGAAACACAACACTTAAAAGATAACCTTATATATTAGGTAGTCACATTATAATTAGAAAAAGGTATGCTAGGTACACTGCAATAATAGGTGTTTGTATTCAACTTTTCAATAAGTCTCATGGAAAATAGTTTTTTGTTTGTTTGTTTGTTTGTTTTTTGGTTTTTTGAGACAGGGTCTCACCATGTAGTTGAGACTGACCTGGAACTCACTATGTAGCCCAGGCTGGTCTCCAGCTTACAGTGATCCTCCTGCCTCAGCCTCCCGAGTGCTGGGATTACAGGTGTGCATCACCATGCCTGGCTGAAAATAGATAGTTTTTTCACACATTCGCTCATCACATACACTGAGTGTCTTGTGCACTGAGTGTCTTGTGCAAGGTCATGGTCCTGATGGAGCTTACAGTCTGGCAGTAGAGGCCACAGCAGGGCATTGATTAGAGGAGGTCCTGGTGCTGTCAGTGCCTCACAGGCGGGGAAGACCTGGAGCCTACACC